TGTGTGTGTGTGTGTGTGTGTGTGTGTGTGTGTGTGTGTGTGTGTGTGTGTGTGTGTGTGCATGCATGATTGGCACCATTACTGTGATGCCTGGAAGCTCGTAGGTGAAAAGGGAAGACATTTGTACTCGTTGCTCATTTCACATTTGCCTAATTGATTTAAACAAGTCTAATGCCAGCCTTCTGTAGGTGTGCGAGGTGTTGGCACATTAGGCTTGATTTGAAATGCAGTGCACACATCCCGCTTGCAAACAGGGGAAGAGTAAGTGAATTTCATTTTAATTGTTGCTGTCGACAGGGTGCAAGATCATTGCGGGTGATTATATATGCACATATGTAAATTTTCATATTTAAAAGGATCAATTAGAGTGACGTTGTCTTGGTGGCAATTAAAAGGTCTGCTGTTTTTCTGCGTCTCCCAAAGGTTAATGAATATCCCAAAACTTGCGAGTTATGAGACTTGCGTACGAGTGGAAAATTGTACGAAAAACATAGCACACATCGTGCAACGCATAAACACTGGCTGCAGCGTCTGCCACTTGCATCGGGCGACCGTGTTCACCAAGAAAAGCAAATAACTGGTGGCTGAGATTATAGGCTTGTCAAAGTTGCTTTATTGTGACACATTGCAGATTTTTTTTTTTTTTTTTTTACTCCTGCTCTCTTTTTCACTATTCATGCCACTCATTTGATTAAACAGCCTCACCAAGCCAGGCACAGGAATAAGAACTCCTTTCTTTTAATACCTATTAAAAGCATTCATAACTGCAGCTCGTGCCGCATTAAAGCCCTGTTTGTTTTCCCCGTGTAATAAATGTCTGTAGTCCGATTTCTGTTTTTTTTTTCCAAATTTCATTTCGTTTTTCTGTCAGGCCATTTTTATTTTTTTTATTATTATTCGATAATAACCCGAGCAGTTTTGTGTTAAGTACAAGGGCGGCGCATTGCTCAGAATTTGTAGCACGTAAAAAATATAAATGCATAATTTGCTGGAAAGTTGACTTCATAAAAACTGCAACGTAACATAGCGTATAAATGCAGTTGTAGCTCCGCCAGAAAGACAAAAAAACAGAAGAAGAAGAAAGGTGGGGAGGGAAAAAAAGACTTAAAGAGGTCTGAGTGTTGACAGGTCTATAAAAGCTGATAATATAAACGTCACACTCGGGAGCGGCCTGTCCTTTAAAGAATTAAAGACTGTATATTTATTGCCTCATTAAAGTGTAAAGAAACACACACACACACACACACACACACAAGCTGTCTTCCTTCAGAAGGTAATGCTGGGCTGAAGTAAATATTACCTTTCTTTTCTCTCCCTCTCTCTCACTCACTCACTCTCTATTTCCCTCCCTTTCTGTAAAAGGAAAGAAAAAAGGAAAAAAAATAGTTTCTTTCCTCCTTTTTCCTTTCTCCACTCCTTCAGCGCAGCCTGTTTGGTAATAAGAAACAGGTCGCTCTATTGGTTTGTTTTTGTTTCTTTAGTAAGGCTGTAATTTAGGACTCATGTTCAGTGTCTCTCCACTCCACTGGCTGCAGAGGCTTAGAGGGTTCAGGCAGAGGAACATAAGTGAGAAGAAAAGGCTTTCCTTCTCAATACAGAGCCTACACAGCTCGAACAAGTTCTGCCATGTGTCATTCACCACTGATTTAGGGGAACTTAAGTCTCAATCAGAGCAGAATTGTATTCGCGAGATTGACGTTGACATTTTGTCAGCAACAATTGCACATTTTTTTATTTTATTTCTTTATTTATTTTGGAGGGGGGGAAATGAAATAATTACTAATGTTAACCAGAAGTCAGGAAACACATGCTATTTGTTAAGGCTTGACTCACACGACTTTGCAGCATTCAGATTTGAGGTCTTAATTAGAGCAAACTAAAAACCTGAACAGGAAGAAACCGTGGATGGATTTTTATTTAATGGAGGCCTCATACGACGCACGGCCATTAGCCTTAAAAGTGCGGTGCGATCTGTAATTGTTAAAGGTTCGAGGAAAAGCTGGTATGCTTTTGCTTTGCCTCGCTGGTTGCTGCATTTTGTTTAAATAGTCTTTGTTTTAGAAGAAGTCAATAGGGCAGCAGAGCAAGGTTCATTTACCAAGTTTCTTTAAAAGTCGAAGGCACTTGTGCTTAAGTGCTTCCATGTTATCAAAGTTATTCTAGAGCGAGTCTCGCCTCTTGGCAGCCATACTGAAACTTGTATGGGCAGTTATTTTGTAGAAGAACTACTTTATTGTCATCTGGAACATGCAATAGTTAGCGCACATTAGGTTGAAATTTCTCTGTATTTCCTTGACTTTTCTTTCAGTGGACACCAGGACATAACTGCATGTTTACACTCAGCAGTCAGATGTGAAAACTTTGCACAAACGTGCAGTTTTTGCAAATTAAACTTCTACTACCATCTTTGCTGTTTCAGACGTCTCCTGTAGTTCTGAGTTTGGGATTCTTGGAGTGCCAATTTAGGATTCCACTAGTAAAATATGAGCTGTTAGAAAATGACACATATTCACAGATGAACCCACACACTATCAACTTCTCCCTTATTTCCCAAGAGGTCACCACAGTGGATAGATCCACATATTTGTTTTGGCACAGATCTTTGGGCTCGGGGCCGGCACTAGAAATACACAAAGGGGTGAATTTGTTCACCACTACTCCGTGGAGTTGCTATAGTTACAGATGGACCTAATCAACAGAATATAGTTAGAAGTAACTTTGGCCTGAGCACTTGCAGAGGTTAATTAACAATATACTAATGATGACAGATAGCATTGTTATTGTAATATCAATGGTCTGCAGGATCAACTTATTGCATCTTGTTAATGGAGGAAATAAATAATATTACAAATAATGTTTTATCTCATTTATTG